TACGTAGGACGCCAGCAAATGCGACGCAAAAGACGGGCGGACCGCAGAAAGAATAATGGACGCGAGAAGATGACAAAAAGCGAAATATCGACTTGCCTGACTTTTAACAATACCTACATAAAGAGACTTTGCTATCCTGGAAACTGACCTGTGGATGTCCGCACATAATTAAAGAACTGCAACACAAGCATCGCACTGACAATTTCACGTTTATGTGCGACTATGGCAGGCATAAGAAAGCCGGAGAAGCGGATCTATCTTTGTAAAAAATAAACTGACGCTGACGAGGATAATGAAAATATGCCATCAATTCCTAGGGGCGGGCGATTTAAGCGGTATGCGAACTCTGTTTGTGCTCACCATAGCACAGCCTCTAAATGGTATAGCATATGCCGGGCAGAGGACTTCTTTGAGTTCGCCCGTACAAACCAACTACGCGGCCATGCATTCAAAGTCGGGAATGAGCGAACACGTTTAGACCGACGAAAATTTTCTTTCAGCCAGCGGGTTGTCAGGCCGTGGAACTCGCTTCCAAGCGAGATGGTGACGGCTGACACAGTTTGTGTGTTTAAAAGAAAACTTGCTCGTCTAGTTTTCGACAGAAATCGGCTTGTACAGCATGACTATGCACAGCCAGTTTTGTAAAATCTGTCATATACAATCTTCCGCACTAATTTACAGTGACCCCATGCACTACCTTATGATTACGATTGAACTGTGACCCAATCACATTTTAAATGCCTGCAATTTTATTTTATTTTTGAGTATGAATCTGCGAAAGCACTGTACATAAATAGGGTCATCAAGGGCTCTGCCTGTAACCCTTCAATATACATACATACATACGTGCTCTAAACCCTTGCGGAGTGAAGTTAGTGAAATTAGAATCCCAAAAGCTTAAGTCCAGGTCGACGAAATTATGATAAACAAGCAGAAGTACAATAAAGGAAGGGGAAGAAGACGAATAGATAGTAGTAGTAGTAGTAGTAGTAGTAGTAGTAGTAGTAGTAGTAGTAGTAGTGAAACGCACTATGGGTGGGTATTTCAACGTGCGTCATTCCTGTTCAACAGTGGCCGTGCTTATTCGACATTATGGAAAAAATTAAGCGGTTTCGGTCGACTCATCTCGACCTTCGAGTCTTTTAACTAGTCCATCCTAAAAGTCTTTAGGACAGTGACTTCTCGCCTCCTTTAAAGAAAGATTTGGGATATTTATAAAATGGATTCATTTCATGACGTATTCTATCCTTAGGGTGTGTCAAGAGCAAACTCAGACATGCCCTTTGTGCCAATGCATTTGCTGAAATCAACTCGAAGGCCTTATGACGTATTCTTACGTACAGAGACTTCATTACGAATATCTCGGATATCGTCTGCTTCTTATTTGAGGAGGTTCGATGTAGCACAGCAAAGGCGTAATTCCAACTTTACGAAGGTTTTCTGGCCATTCGCGACCCTGGGTGACACAATTTTCGACTGCAGTGCACCCAACTTCTTCTCCCTAATCTGGCGTTCTCTGCCCTTTCTGGGTGCTCTGAGACTTCTTTGTTTACTGAGATCCCTTCTGGTCACGCATTTCTCGCAGCAGAAACAGATTTTCACTCGCAGCGACCTTCATATGCACACTGTTTTCCTTCGTCACGGTTGGTACAGTAAGGGAAGTCGTTTTCGCATTTGTTCTTCCTTTTTTCTGGATTTCAGGTGTCAGCGATTCCCCCCCTTCGAGTGAATGGCAAGGGAGATTTCTCGACTTATTCATCTGCAGTTTAGACCCTCTAACTCATTCTCCATTTCTAAAAAATTGAGGAAGCCGAGGCATGTCGCATAGTCCTCGACTTCATACTTGGCATCCATCCATCTTACTAGATTCATGATCTCTTTTGCTAGATGTGCCTTGATAACAGATTATACGAAATAACGCTCATTTTTACTATGACTAACATTTACTCCTTCAGTAATTTGGGCCCTGCACTGCGCGTCGGTAGTCTAGTGGCGGCCTTGTTCACGCCACAGCGATGCCTGGGTTCGATTTCAATTTGTTGCGGAATCTTCTCACATCTTCCTGAGGACGTATTATGGACTCCTTTAAAAATTAAAAGAATTTGGGACATGTTCAACGGTTGAGACCACGCTTTTTTATCAGGTCAACTGTGGGAAATAAAGAACAGAACGACTCAGCCGTTCGCAGATTTGGAAAAGTCCGTCGAGCCATCGACAGAGATACGGTCGGAGGGGGATACTTTTTTTCTGTTGAAATCCGGCTACAAATTTGTGAAGACGAAGATATTGCTGGTTCATATCCAATTCTTACAAATAGCAGGTCGTAAGAGCGCCGGTGGACTGGAATTCCATCGTTAATTTCCATTCATCAACATCACGAAACCTTCGATTTTGTGTTTGACTCACGTTTCTGTTGTGTCGACGACATCCGGGTGTCTTTCTGCAACTATCATCTTTTGTTCGTCTCTTTTCCATTTGAGACTTTTAGCATAGTATTCACAAACATCACTGCGGTATGAATATTTTCGCTGCACAAATGCATGTACATTTACCTAAGTTTGATGCAAAAGCCTGACGATGCCATTTGAGGTTAAAGGAATCTCACGAATTCTTGGATGTCAGAGTCATAATTTTCTCCCCCGAGCTGGGTTTCGGAGAACCTTTATTTATCTCTGAACTACGTGCAAATACACATACCCTGTAAAACATACTAATTTGTGTCGATTTAAACTCATAATACACTCCAACCTGAGTAGCAACCGAAGTTTATTTCGTGGACGCTTGAGCTTATTTACGGGACCAAGCAGATATTATGATCCGAGTCGATCAGAACCTTGTCAAATAAAAAATTTCCAGTTCGACTTTGTGGACTTCTCAGTAGACAACATGCGCAAATCTCACTGAACCATAGACACAACAAGCACGAGGGAGGATATAAGTCGCGATCATTAAGGGTTACCGCGAGATTACTAGCATTCACGTAAGGACTGTGACCGTTTGGGAACTGTTACATAACACTCTGTAAAGATGCGGGGCTGTTTTAGCGAGGTAGTCCATTTGGCTGTTGCATATCAGAAATATGACAGAATTTCAATAGTTGAATTATACGACTGCTTAACCGTTTACTTCGTGATGAGGTAGTAAGTTGACGTAGTCCATGCACAGGTTTCCTATTTATGAATATAGTCAAAACAGAACGAACCCTTCCAACATCCGTGGCTTCTGGACCAGCTTGTGCCTTCGCCTGAATCTGGACGATATAGAACAAATTGGGAATAGGTGTGTTAACTTGGAGTAAATCCGTCGGAACAGACCTTTTCAGGCACGGTCGGAAACAAGCAGAGTGAAACTGGAGTTCATATATCAAAAAAACACACGGGAAGGCTGGTGAACCAACTGATGGGAGTAACCCCTCGCAGCTGCATCAGGCAGTAGGGCAAGATCCGCAAAACACGCTTTGCCTGTGTTGTCAGTATGGTAAATAATTACACAAAATGGGGATAATTTTTCTTTGCTCGCTCGCCCAGTACACGATCCCTCCTATCATAGATTGCTACTAAGCCTTAGCAACTGGTCTGGCTAGACGTTATGCGTTCAAATAACCTCAAAAAGGTTATTTCCGCATGAGTAACTCGGATGGACACTCAACGTGCTCAGCTCGAGCTAACTGGTTTTTGTCAATGCGCCCTGAATGTCCTCTCGTTAAAAAGCAATGCTGCTTTCCCACTAAACATGATCAGGTAAACTAAGGCGCATTCAAAAATTCGAGGAGTCAAGGATGTTGGGTGTATGGGTCGTTACTTATTTAGTGAGATGGCTTCGTGTCTGCAGACGGCGCATTTGTTTAACTCAACCAAAACATCTCGGGAGTCAGGCCTTTTGACGTTCCTCAGCCAATCAGACCCTGTGGATTCCTTCATCCGCGGAAGCCATCTTTGTTCGCAAACTGTAATTTTCATAGGCAAAAAGTATGCAGTAATCTGTGAAATTAAATGAAGCTTGTTTACCTGGTAAGTTCTTTTCTATTTCTATAAAAATTGCACTTGATTTCATGTCACTCATTAATCTGCCAAGTGGATGACACGGATCACGTTTTTTCCTAATCCGTGCACGAGATATCGCTCCGAATGGCCGACCAAATTAGTGTATCATCGTTATTGAATCCCTTCTTTGGCGCATATTTTTAATTTCTGTAAAGCCGCTGTTTTAAACTTTTTCTGTTGTTTTTTTTTCGTCACAGATTTGTATTAATGGATCAAGAGAGTCACTCAAACCTCGCGCATGGAACCTCGGCGTTTCAGAACAATGCTTTGTCACATGAAAACTCTGACCCAGTGTTGAACTCTGGCTACTCCATTCCTGGCGATCCCTCTCACTTGCAACAACCATTCAAGTACGGCAGTAACGCGCACACGCTGCAGCAAATTCATCCCAGCCAGGTTTCTTCCACAAGCACTCAGGGCATTGACCCACCCGGCACCAGCTCAAACCAAGTACCAAAATTTCAGCCTGGCGCCGCCGAAGTCGCTGCACGTGTTCCAAGCGTTCAAAATCCCGTTAGCGCGTTCATGGTCTCGCCGTCCTGTCCTGTCATAAGTAACCACCCGGAACTAGGGGGCATTAAGCCTCCTGCACCTAGTTTCGTCGGAACAAGTGTCACGCCTACACAGTCCGACCGTGGACAAATTCCTCTCTCATACGCTTCTCAGCCGATTGCTTCGTCCTCAGGCAGCACATCGAGATATCACCCATCTTATCCCTCTACGATGACTAGTTCCTCTGTGCAGAATCCCCAGAGCGCAAGCTCCTCAACCGTAGCTACTGATCCTGAAAAACGACAGCTCATACAGCAGCAACTGATCTATTTGTTACACGCCCGAAGCTGTCGTCAAGAAGCTGAACGATCAGGCCGCACCGCTCCTTGTACTACACCTCATTGTCGCACTATGAGGAACGTATTGCAACATATGAAAACTTGTACAGAGGGAAAAAACTGTCAGATGCCTCACTGCGCCTCTTCTAGACAGATTATTTCCCATTGGAAGAATTGTAGTAGCCGTGAGTGTCCCGTGTGCGAACCCCTTAAGAGAAACCAGCACAGTCAGCTGTATCAGAATTCGTTGCGCCAGCCAGGTCAGCAAATAGTCCCATCCTCAAAGCCGGCCGAGGTAAACGGACTGCCGGCCTTTTCGAAATCAAACGCCGTTGTCCGACCTCCTAATCAGTTGCCTGCCGCTCGTGGTGGCGTTCTCGTTGCCGGAACTTCGAGACCTTCATTACCAAATGCTCCAAGAAACCAAGGCCCTGCTCCCTTCCTTGCATCCTCATCTTCGGGCCATCTAGATATGAAGCAGGCAAGTAGTGCATCCACCGCTCCTATTCCTGACCAAACCGGCTGGCGAAAGAACATTAACATGGAACACAGGAACAGCATTGTTAGGAGAATGTAGGCATTGTTTTTTTGTAAATAACTTTTCTTTTAGTGTAAAATATATCCTACCACAGCCAGACCCGGCAGTGTACCATGATCCCCGGATGTCAAACTTGATCGAATATGCAAAAAAGGTAGAAAATACCATGTATACTACAGCCGAAGACATGGATGAGTATTTTCGCCTACTTTCTGAGCGTTGTTATAAAATATACAATGAACTGGAGGAAATTCGGAAGCGCCGTCGAAATGCTGCATCGGCAGCCTCAGCTAAACCTACCTCATCCGCATCGGTTGACTCGACCGGTAGCGCAGGACAACAGACTAGTTCATCGGCACCCTCATCTCAACAGCGTTTTCCCCCTCAAACCTCGGCACCGTTGGCAATGCCTGGTCATGGCCTCACCTCTACTAACAACGCAGATACATCTATGTCAGCCGGTGACGTCTGCTGCTCTTCTTACACTGATGCTAATTTGGCCAAGTTTGATCGTGCCCTTTCAGCACACAACCGTCCCCCAGTCAAGCCTGAAAACGGTCCAGCCGTCCAATCCGAGCAGAATAACAATTACAACCCCACAGCCTCTGGTTTTTCAGTTGGTGGGACATCTTACAAGACGGAGGATGCAGAGAAGCCTCATTGCGCTCCTGGAATCCCTGGTGGTGTCACAGATACGCCGACCAGATCATTTCCTTACAAGCATGAGAAGCCTGAAGAACAAATCAAAGCCGAAGATACGCCGTCCACAGACTCGCGCGCTACCTCTAATTACGAAGCTCTACATGCCGCATCCCCTGTTTTGAAAGTAGACAAGTCAAACTGGAAAAGTTGGTCCAGAGAAGAACTTCTACGACACTTCTTGCCTCTGCTTGCGGAAATTTATAATGATCGCAATGCTGAGCCCTTTAGAGATCCTGTCGACCCAGTTGCTCTCCACATCCCGGATTACCCTCAGGTTATTAAACAACCCATGGACTTAGCAACAATACGAAATAATCTGGAAGACGGAAAATACAAGGACCCATGGGAGGTCCTTGATAGCTTCCGACTGATGTTCAATAATGCTTGGCTTTACAACAAAAAGACCTCTAAAGTGTATAAAATGTGCACAAAGGTAAGTACCAGTCTTCAATTCTACTTGTTTAGTTGTCGGAACTTTTCGAAAGCCAGGCCGACCCTGTCATGCAGGCGATGGGCTTTTGCTGTGGACATGAGTATTCTTACCAACAAATTTTGTACTGCAGTTCGTCCAACGTTTGTACGATAAACCGTGATGCCACCTACTACGTTTATGAAAACACGTAATGTTTTCCTTGAAATTAATGCTATTTTAGGGATAAAAAATCGCTCATTTGTGATTTCTACTATCAATGCGAGAAGTGTTTCAACGAAGCTGGAGACGAGGTTATGCTCGCAGACGAACCTGACCAAACACCAACGTAAGTTTTTCATGAACAAGTAATCTCGTACTCTTTTAGACCAATCAGAAAAGAATTGTTTGAGCGAAAAAAGAACAATGTGACAATTAATGAAGCCAATGAGATCTGTAAGGAATGTGGCAGACGTTGGCATAAAGTTTGTGGACTCCACATGAACGAAATATGGCCGGGCGGTTTTGTTTGTCAGGGATGCTTGCACGCTCGTGGAATAAAACGCAAAGAGAACAGATTTACAGCGAAAAGACTGCCAAGCAATAAATTGAGCACTTTTCTCGAAAAACGTGTCAATGACTTTCTAAAGAAAAAGGAGGTGGGCACTGGTGAGGTGACTATACGTGTATTAGCCAGTTCTGACAAGACCGTGGAGGTCAAGCCGTTAATGCGCAGTCGTTTTACGGAAAGTGGCGAGCTTTCTGAGAGCTTCCCCTATCGTTTAAAGGCAATTTTTGCTTTTCAAGAAATTGACGGGCAAGATGTTTGCTTTTTTGGACTATACATCCAAGAATACGGGTCGGAGTCGCCACAACCAAATCGCAGGCGTGTTTATGTGGCCTACTTGGACTCTGTATTCTACTTTCGACCAAAACAATACCGAACAGATGTCTACCACGAAATCCTCGTTGGCTATCTTCATTACGCAAAGCGATGTGGCTTTGTGATGGCACATATTTGGGCATGCCCGCCAGGTGAAGGCGATGATTACATCTTTCACATGCACCCTGTTGAGCAGAGGATACCGAAAGCCAAACGTTTACAGGATTGGTATCGTCGGATGTTACAGAAAGCCATGATCGAGGGCATCGTTGTGGACTTCAAAGATATTTTGAAGGATGCTATTGACCACCATTTGGTTTCTCCCACAGAAATCCCCTACTTCGAAGGCGACTTTTGGCCCAACACCCTCGAAGAAATACTTCAGGTAAGACATTTGCTGCGTCTTTTGCAATGTAGATCGCAGAGTAACCCTCCGACGCAGGAGGCTCCCATATAAACACTCATTTGACGTTGTAATAGCCAATGCCTGGTTCATGCTTCTGCCATTTTTCACTATGTTAAGCCTCTGTTAGACATGTCCCGCGTAATGGTGGTCCCTTCCAGTAGCATTTAAAGGGTCAGGAACTTGTGCCTGGTTTTAGCTTGGGAAAAGATTCCTAAGCTGTTATAATCATAGTACTTTAATGAAACAAGTTTTTTTCGGAACACATGAAGACAGAATAACCACTTGCGAATTCGCAACATTACCAAGTAACAGTTTAATTCACGGAAAGAAAAATCTTTACGCAGTTTTGGTGATTCAGACGTATCTTGACCGGAAGTTGTTAGGGTTCCAGACTGTCACTAGCTGCCGATTTAACGCTTTTGGACCGATTTCATTGGTCATACTACATGACCTCCACTGTCACTGTAAGTAGGCTTACCAAGCAGATCGTCATGACTGCATAAAATGGTATTGCAGCAGCTTCCGCTGCTGAAGTAGTTTAATTCTGAATATCCCCTAATGCAACACAAGCGAGCAGTTTTGCCAAGTACTAAAAACTCGGATGAGCTCAGTCCCCTGGTTACATTTTCGCAATGCTTGCGGCCAGAAAGTTGTGACCGTGTCCGACCTTGCCAGCGTCGATGTCGCGGATTGTGTTTTGCACGCATAGCGGTCTCAACAGCAAATGTAGAAGGGTTCCCCCGAATTTCCCAGCAAAAAAGATCAGATACCAAGGGTCTAGAAGTCGTTTAAATGTCACGCGGGATTTACTTCAGCTATATTTTCAATTCATCTCTTCGCGTTTTTCGATTAAGCGATCTTGTTGGACTTCCTCTGCACTCGAATAAGAATGTGCCTAAACCATATTAGTCATCTTTCTTAGACGGCATGAAATATGCTTGCGATATTTCCGCAGGTGAGTGCGAACTGTCTCACCTGACACGATGTCAGTTTACCCTGCTCAATGGGTCGTCCCAATAACCGTTTATCGAAGATATCCATTCTCCATCCATCTTCCACACGAATGGCTCACCGTCCGCAGATGTAAAGATTGGCTGACGAGACTGGGTTCCAGTGCATTTATGTTCTGGTAGCGACCGAGATATTGTAGTGGATCCATGGCTGTTCTCGAAGGCATGTAAAAACCACGTATAACATTGACTCGGTCGGCGATGTCTTCACTCCGTCTGTTTGGTTATAGTTAAACTCCGAGCTTCTTCGAACCGTCCACTTCGTAAACCCAGCAGCCATTACGTACGAGGGGGGCCTTCTCATGATCAAAGCTACAACTCCAGGAGACCTTGGTCTTCGTTGTGTTGTCGGGCAATGCGACTGATGTGGCGACTTAAGTCGCCCTAGACACTATATCATGTAGGTCAGCAGAACCAAGAGAAAGCAGAACGATAGCGTCATCCCAGCGGAGGTCAGGAAGCTCGCATTCTTGTGCATAGTCTACGTTGCCAAAAACACGATGTCGTCCCAAGTACTCAGTTGACGACCTCCGTAAATAGGAGGAGCGACAGGATTCAATTGTGCTTTGCAAAACCGAATATTAAACGGTCGGAAGTCGATGCTTGCAAATGTAAGCGCAGTAATATATTAATAGTTGGCCTCGGTCTCGACCGTTGGCACTGGTTTGGTGTTCAACTGCAAGAGTTCTATTGCCATATCTCGTGCAGTACTAAGCTCTGCATTTCCTTAGAACTTTCGGAGTGGATTTGCTTAACTCTATTCTTGACCTATGACCCCCTATATCTGACAACAATAAGTTTTCTTTAGTTTTGTGGGTTCTTCAGACTGTTCTGATGATCCGTTCTCAGAGACGTACACCCTTAGTTCCACTGCATCTTTTAATCTCTTTTCACCTCGGAAGTTTTTACTATTTTCCCACCAGGATTTATCGGGCGGTTATGACCGGAACGATGATACCGCTCAACAGAGCAGTTAAAGGGCTTCTCTGTTGTCATTCCAAAGCTTGTTATCAGGGTGTTTCTACAGATTTTAAGACTGTCGGCCAATAAGTTCAGTTTACTTGATTTCCGAATGTCAAAATCGGAAGGTGACCAACGGAAGGAGCTTGCCTATAAACGTAGGAACCCAGAAATGTCTTGGAATCATTTGCTGCTTCCAGACAAGACCACCTGACTCTGGGAAGAAGATCTAAGATCCTAGGGAGTAGCAGTGACCTCTAGGTGACCCGAAGCTAGACGCTCTACTCACTGACATATGAACCCACAATTTGTTGTTCTCCTTCGGGGAGATTCGCATCATAACACGGTTGCGGCGATATTATCCAACTTCAGAGCGGCGCACACGTCCGATTTCATACCGAAGCCTGGGCTGGAGATCGTTGCTGACGTCTGGGTTTTACACCGTCTTTAGCTATAAGACAGCTTGCGAGGACTCCAGAGCTAAGTGTGTTGACATTGCTACGTCCTGCAGTGAGCCGGGGTCTAAACGACGTCATTTCTCAGCAGATTTTAGGCACTCCGACGCCCCGCGTTGGCTATACGTATGCTATATTCATCTCGTGAGCAGGGCGTCAAAAGCGCTCTAGCACTCTTAAATAATTGTTTAGGTTTTCTCTGGCTGTTAAAATTATCTCACCCATGCCCAATCAATTACTTCCTGAATCATCCTGTATGGGACTGTGCCGCTTTTCGGTATATTGCAAATTTGCTATCGCTCCGGAGCCACTATCGCCAGGGTATATGGAGGCATCAGTCCACATTCGCAGTTGTTAACACTTTTTCACTTCTATTTGCCAACGGCTGTACTTGTAAAGTAGCAGCAATGATCTTTGAATTTGCGACAAATTACTTTTCAGCCGAAGTTGGTCGCTTTCTCAGTTTTCGAGACCAACCTTTCGCAACAAGTCTTATCCACCCCATGGTGCGTTGTGTGATCGTCCTTTCCAGCAATAAATCGCTGCAATGCTTACAGTGCACAACCATAAGCGGCCGGGAAATAGCGACGTCCTTACCGAAATCTACAAGTTTTGTGTCGGCATAAGCGCTACAAGGTTGAAAATAAGTAGGAGGACGAAATCCTCACTGACGACGGTCTTCCTTGTTCATGTTCCAAAGAAGGAAAATAGGGTGAAGCGCGAGAATGACTGGGGCACGAGTCTCCCCGACAAAACTCTCGCCCTCCACCCATTTGATATCCGGTCTCCTACAAAGCATTTATGTCCTCTCGCTCTTCCTGTTTCACTAAGGCGTCTGGGTTCTCGGGAAAACGCGCGTTTTTGGCAACGTAGGGTATGCACAAGAATGCGAGCTTCCTGACCTCCGCTGGGATGACGCTATCATTCAGCTTTCTCTTGGCTCTGCTGGCCTACATGATATAGTGTCTAGAGCGAGTTAAGTCGCCACATCAGTCGCATTGCCCGACAAAACAACGAAGACCAAGGTCTCCTGGCATTGTAGCCTCGACCATGAGAAGGCACCCTTCGTATGTAATGGCTGCTGGGTTTAAGAAGTGGACGGTTCAATGTAGCTCGGGATTTAGTTATAACCAAACAGACAGTGAAGACATCGTTGCCCGAATCAAAGCCACACACAGAGTTCTCCGCAAGTTCTTACAAGCATCGGACAATACTTTGGCTGGTCTCGCCACTGATGGGGATCCACCACCAGCTGTTCGAAAAAAGTACAAATGCGTCACCTGCTACGCCACAGCATTGGGAAAACTTGCGAGTGTCCGGGTGTGGTTTTAAAATAATAAAGTGGCGAGAACTAGGGGAACAGCAAATTTTAAAACTGGTAAGGCCACAGACTGCAAATGAATACCCATCGGCCATCGTTTTACTTTGAAGGCTTTAATCTTTTAACCTTCCAAGTGGCTATATGGATACGCAAGTTTCCTAATCATTGACCCAATGGAAATAAAACCAGAGGGAGGATTCTTATAGGTCCTTCAAACTTTAGGCGTGCGTACTTTTCTTTTACGCCTGTCATCCCCTTGCTGAATTGGACACCCATGACTATGAGTTTTAAAGTAAGGTAGGGCCAAAAACCACCGAATGCAGCCGACGAATCCACTCGAGCCCTTTTGGTCACTCCAGACGGTCAAGTTTGCCATCAGAAGGACACTTCGGCGAGATCCCTTTTTCCATGAGTAACTAAAAACTATGCGACAGTCTCAAAATTGTGCTGTTTGCCTCGCTTCGGACACTGTCTGAATGATGTACTATTATTAAACTGAGATTTAGTTTGCTAAAAGGGAGGATAGCTACAACCAGCCACCCCGTCGTTGCTCTCTTCCTACAAATGCAAGACGAGCATCTGTGGACGATTGGTAGATAGGAATGTGGAGACGCCGTGTTTTCGGATGGCTGGCACAGTGCTCATATCATCTGTTACCAGCATGATAATTAAGGACAGGTTGCCGACTTTCAATACATCTGCCTCACTCTTCCTTAACTGCGGTACCCCGATGGCCAGACAAGGTCAAGACGATTGGGGGAAGGCGTGGGCATAGTCACTGGCAAAGCTAAACAGCCCATCTAGATGTGCCTCGGTCCCTACTGAATATGTATTTGATTATAGTAATGTTGGGGGTGAAGAGACTTGCCCTTCATCTACGTGTGAATATCATAAAGACCACTGTAAGAAGGATCTGTTGTCTTACCCCAGTTTTGCTGATTACCCAGTTACTCTGTCAGTTGGCAACCTTCCGAGTCCCGTCATAGATTCAAGCGCGTCGGATTTACCATAGTGAGGAATGAGCGGATTTTCCGTTGAGTCCTCTAGTACTGGTCCCCCTTACCCCACCCATGCTCAAGCCGACTGTCGGAGTCTGTCAGCCAACCGGTGGTTCGTGTTTCCCAGTGGCTGACGTGACACGAAAGCCTCGTTTACGTCGTGCAACACGCGTGAACTCACCACAGCCAGATAAACGCGTGTCGTGAGCCCGCCCGAATTCCATTCTGTCCTGGCATGCCGTCGGCGCACCCCTAATGACAGTCGTAATTTGGGATTCCTCACCCATTATACATAGATATAAAGCTCGCAAGGTCGAAAGAGCGGGTAAACTCTAGGCATCTGAATGCTGTCTCCTGATTCCCACACAGATATGACATTGTAAGACGGAGAAGACGCATTTGGAACTCGACTTCATGAGCACCGTCTACCAGGCGTATGACACCTTTTTTTCACGCTCCACAGCGGTACTTTCGTGGGTAAAGCTGATTTTGAGCATCACTGGCTCTTTAGTCCACGGTTTGCATGACCGGTATACCAAATAGTTCGAATTCATGCAGGACTGCGTTTGAGGGTCATCATGTGAGACACTACTCTTGTACAGCAGCGGACCAACTGAATCAGCCCTTAACGCCTTCGAATATATTCAGGCGAAATATAAAAAGCCTTCCAAGGCTTTCTGAAGCCGATCTACGTAGCATTGCTCACAAAACTGAACACAAGGAAGAACTCTTGGAGTATTTATTCATGCCATCTTGTGGTCCGGCAAATGGTAAGCGTCTGCAAACTAGTTCCTGCCCGCCCCCCCCAGAGTACCACCTTCACTTCCCCTACCAACACGAGCAGAAAACCAATCCCAACCGGCCAGAACGACCTGAACTGTGTACTATCATGGAGGACCGAACCAATGTACATGTGTTAAGCATACCAGGGAGTTAGAATCGTCAGTCCCACAACCTCGAGGAGAGAAATGAAAGAATTCTCATCTTACGTGTAGAAGTCCATTTTCGTTCGCGATGGTACTACACTGGTTTTGGACATCGGCACTTTCGTCTGTAATTATTGAATACGGATTTTTCTGTTGAGCCCGAAGACTTATCCTGAGTGGAATGAACTCGTTATGTTTACACCATTTTTTTCGGAAGTCACTTTGCGAGATTCCGCTTATCAGTGAGTTCTCTGAAGTTCCCCATGTAGTTTTGAAAGTTAGAGTGAGTAACCAAAGTATTGGTGTTTTGGCAGATTTGTATACAGTAGATGTGCTAACTCATGAAATGTCAACCAAAATTTCGAAATGCGTTCTCGTTTCGAAAAGATCAATTAAGTAGTGTTGTAAAACTAATCATAATGCAGCATAAATCTATAATGATCCAGTTACCTCAGGGTGTCCGCTTTCGAATGAACTTATTTTCGGCTGCATGCAAGATCTATACTCTTCAATAAGTGACTACTTATGTAGTATGCAATTTTCTCATTGATTTTCGATGCCCTTGAAAATTCAATTATATTTCATGGAAAACATGCATAAAAATATTCATTCTTTTACTTATTCGGTAGAAAATCACGTCTTCTTCCAATTTCATACTCAAAAGAAGAGTATAATTCGGTTTTAAAAAAAACTTTTCTAATTCCCGAATAATTTTGAACCCGACCTGCTGTTACACTTGCAGTCAGGGTTTCAAAACTACAAGCTGTATATTTTCCGTGTACGGAAAACCATGCATTTCTCTACGGTGTTAAGAGGAGACCATATGAGGTTCATAAAATTAAGCAGTGGATTTGAGCAATACTGTTAACTTTGCAAGCCACATTCGTAAATGCAGATACATGACGTTTCATGAACGGCCATTTAACGGTATTAAAAAATCTCACAATTAGAGACTTTTTAAAACCTAATTATACTCTTTGAGTATGAAATTGGAAGAAGACGTGATTTTCTACCGAATAAGTAAAAGAATGAATATTTTTATGCATGTTTTCCATGAAATATAATTGAATTTTCAAGGGCATCGAAAATCAATGAGAAAATTGCATACTACATAAGTAGTCACTTATTGCAGAGTATAGATCTTGCATGCAGCCGAAAATAAGTTCATTCGAAAGCCGACACCCTGAGGTAACTGGATCATTATAGATTTATGCTGCATCATGATTAGTTTTACAACACTACTTAATTGATCTTTTCGAAACGAGAACGCATTTCGAAATTTTGGTTGACATTTCATGAGTTAGCACATCTACTGTATTTCGGCCGACCCCCTTGTAAAGAAGTCGTCAGCCTCGATGGGGTACGAGCCCGCGACAGTAAAAGCTAGGTTCCGACTGCAGCCTACGTTCCAACTGCCTGAGCTACGAGGCACGGACCGAGAGCTATGAGTCCAATCGCGTTTGGGTAACGTTGCCGGCTGATGTCGCCAAATTCTTCACAATTTGGTCTGTCAAGCTAAAGTGTTGCTCGAAACCGCACTGGAAGTTGGAAATTCAGACCAACCGCAACCTTCCGACTTAAACACGGGCCTTCTTGTTCTCGTAGATAAACAGTTTTACAACAGCAGAACAGCACGTGTTAACGATAGTTTTTTGAGGATAAACATTGTAAAAAAAATAGTGTGTACAAATACTCAATCCTAACACAGGCATTTCCAGCATACGCATGGTCGGTATTTTCCCAGTGCCGTGTGGGTGATGTAAGGCTTCACAAGGCTGTGGTTGTCGACCCAACCGCTGATAAGGTCACTGGCCGATAGTCGAGTCTGTTGTCTCATAGTTATTCAAAAGCTTGTTTATTGGCCTCAACAGACAATATTTGACTTTCCGAGGTTTCTTCAGACTCCGTTTTCGGTCCGCCTTAGTTTTTCGTTTTCGGTTTACACCTTCATGGAGGGTAAGTAAGCAATGACTAACCGCTCTGACCTGATGCAGAATGGAGCCAAAAGCCCTTGCCGACGGCCGGCTAAGGAAAATCGGCAATCAAAAGATGCGATCCTGTAGAGACTGCGCCGCCAACTGGTCATACGCAACCCCTTATACGAAAACTGCATTCTTGATCTCCACTGACAAAACGTAGTGCAGTAGTTTTTGTAATGCGTTCCACTTCAGTCCCCGAGCCGATTGATGGACAGTGACGCGCGTTCAACAAAAACTGCCGCATCAACCAGTTTGGCATTATCTCATTACCAGTCCATCAACTGTCTTAGACAGTTCGCCGGGAAGGGAAAGTACGGCCGACACCAATGCACTCTCTCGTTGCAGTCTGACCCAATGTATCAAATGTAACGCTCTTAAAGCTATCACGTTCCAAAAGTCGTGCCGTGAGAGGCTGCCAGCTGACTAGTTCGCACAGTTTCCTTTTGGAGCTTATGATATCCGATATCGTGTGGCAAGCTTTAGACATCGGTCTTACATCACGTCAGGCATTGCGCCCAGTTTCGTGTCCCGTCGACTTGGCTCGAACCTGCCACTCGTACATGATGGAATCGGGGAGAGTTAGGTTCATCTCGTAGCTTTCGCATTATAAGAATCCAACACGGATTTCGACTATCGGGATGCGGTAAAAACGGAGTCTCAATGACTGTCGGCTGACGATGACGTCCTTCCTACGGACTGAGGATCAGATTAAAGAGCCCCGTATTATGACCCTGAGGGCAATTTTCTTCGATGGGATCCGGGTTTTATAAGATGTGTTCCGTGAGTTTGGGGACCAGCACATATGTGGCACACGCAGATGCGGTTTTTAGCCTCGTCGGTCACTCCGCCCACACATTTCAGTCGTCTCAGCCCTGTCCTGCGTGTTGCGTGTATTAGAGATAAGTTCTGCTTAAAGGCTCCCCACTAACTCAGTTTATGTACATGTCGCCACCACGTGCTCGATGCATCTGCCGTTAGACGAACTTGGGCTTAGGTCGGTTCAAGTCAGTTTAGTAAGGGAATGAGACTTGCGCCCTTGAGCTCCCCATTCATATAGTTAAACAGAAATAGAATCAATTATTACATCAGTAAATCTAGAAATTCAAAAGTTGACGGTTAGTGTGAACCAAGCGCAAACTGCCGCTGCTAAAACAATCGTGATTATATGTACAGTAGTTCCTCAGCAAATGAGCGTCTAGTCTCTACCAAAAAGATTCAAGTTACAGAAAAGACCACCGCATCAGAGGTGGCAATATTTTTTTTCATCGGCGACCTATCTTGAGGTTCGTGGATGGTCTTTTCACTCGACGTTCTGGCAGTTAACATGTCCTGTTTGTCTCCTCTCCGCTTCCCCGACTGCCCGTGACCAAAAAATAGCTTGAATATCACGCAGCACCGTGGATTTAAACTTAAAGACAGCCTGGAATCCGTGTTTGACAATTCAGTAACCTAGACCCACATGATTTACTTCACTTTAGTCGCCCAGCAGCTGACCCTGGTTTACTTTTAAAATTACACGGAGGATCTTCTCTACAAGTAATAAGACGCCATCTTACACCTACAATCTGTTAAAATACTTAAACTTGCCACAGCCGGTTCGATGATCGCTCATATCTTCATCCACCTGCTATACTTTCGTCGGGGTTAGATCCCGTTTTTATCGTGTCGTGCTTATTTTCCTGTCACTGCATCACTGGATTTCGCAGTAACAGCTATTTATTTTTCAGTCGACATAGTCTTCCTGCAATAGCATCGTACATAAGTTGCTGAGTTGAATTCAGAACCTTTCGGCTCTACATATTTTACACCTTTTTCTTGATTGTTCGTTGTCATAGATGTCTTTTTTTACCACTGTAGGAACTTGACAAGGAGGAACGTCGACGTCGCGAAGAAGCTGTAGCTATTGCAGAAACAGAAGACGATGATCCAGATTGTTCGGGTGGTCTCGAGGGCGGATTGGGTGACCCGGATAAGCGGTCTGGAAAGAAAAAGGCGAAGAAACGGAAAGGCAACAAAAAGTCTGGCAGTTCCCTCTCAAGTAAGCGCAAAAAAGTTGATGGACCAGTGGATGGTATAACGGAGCTTTCGCGAAAGGTCTACGATACCATGGAGAAGTTGAAGGAAATTTTCTTTGTCATCCGCCTACACAGAAATAACACGGCGGCCTCGCTTCCCCCCATCGTTGATCCTGACCCGCTAATACAAAGTGAACTAATGGAAAGCCGTGACTCCTTCTTACAAATGGCCCGAGAGAAACATTTGGAATTCTCCTCCTTGCGCCGCGCGAAGTACTCGACGATGGTCATGCTTTACGAACTGCACAATGAGGGCCGTCAAAACTTCATGTACAGCTGCAATGTTTGCAAGGCCCAAATCGAAACCCGGTGGCACTGTAACGAGTGTGAGGAGTATGACCTGTGCACTAGATGTTATAAACGGGAAAATCATCCACACCCAATGGTTCAGTATGGTTTTGGCATGGATGAGGATGAGTCTAATGCCAATGGCGAACCTGCAGAAAAGTCTAGCAGCACTGTCCAGCGCAAAGGCAGCCTGGAGTACTATGCCAAGGCACTTGCCCACGTTTACCAGTGTCGTGATGCAAACTGCCGCATGCCAACCTGCGTTCAAATGAAACAGGTTCTTTCCCACAAGCGCACCTGTACTAAACGTGCTAATGGCACATGCACTCTTTGCAAGCAACTGGCAAGCATGTATTGCTACCACGCACGATCTTGTGAAGACCCCAAGTGTCAGATACCTTTGTGCCCAACTCTAAAGGCTCACTTTAGACGTCAACAAATTGAACAGCGCCGACAACAGAGTAAGTCATTGCAACGACGAACCAATTTGACACGTGGAGCGACGGTTGCAAGCGATGGCTCGTCGCAGCACCACCCTCCTCACACACTGTCCGAGTCTCACACCCTTGCCGGTTCGGATCCCACTAGAGGTTCTGGCGCACAAATGACTCAACAGGGTATTCAAATCTCTAAGGTTTCGTCTTACCCGATTTCCGCAGATCTCGAAAACAGTAGTATGACAGCCCACAACTCGGACTCCGTCCATGTGGCGGGATCCATAAACGGAACCAACCAAATGTCTAGCGCCCAGACCTTGACGAATCTTTATCCCCAGGGTTCCATTAATTCCCCATCCATGTGTCAGACTCAAGTTCCTCCAAGGATGTCCACATTCACTTCCTCACAAGTTCCCCGCCTCTCCATCCCAACAAGTTCCTCTCAGTTGTCAAGCAAGTCCCCGGGCCCCAGTCACATGCCTGAAACCTGGCGAAATGCATCCCCTACAGTCGGTACAGGTATGAACAACGACCGCCCATCCAATCAGGCTCCACCCGCAGCTGTTAACCGACCGAATGACTTTCAAGTTGACGCAAGTAAGGCAACTCCGCAAGACATCGAGCGCGTGCGTCAGGTGCTTCGGATGATTACAACTACCAAAGTTTCCACAGAAGAGCAAAATAAACAGGTACGCCAGTCTTATTTTGGTTCCCTTTTTCCTATGGGGCTAGAAAATAGGTGGGTTTTGGTAATGGGTGTTTAATAGCATGTGTCTGGCCTTTCTACATGTATAGCTACCTGCACTTGTGATCAGTCTGAACTTGTTAATGATGACATGTCACTCATCCGGCTCAAGTGGCTTGTTTTTTTAGCATTGGATGAAAATTCACCGTTATTGAGCTGTCCAGTTTTTTTGTCCCCTTTTAAAGGCCAAACGTTTACTATCATAGGTGTGATCGACGAGATTTGTACAACTCCGTTTTGGTATAAAGTATCGACCGTCCTTTATCCAAGGTTTGGACAGACATTCACAGTTCCAGCCGCATTTCCGGTTGATTTATATCCACTTATCTCTATTTATTTCACGGTTTACATATGGCTGTTTTTATACGCCCCAAAGTCTTTTCAAAACCACATAGAGAGGGGTGCCAGCCGTCATGCCTTCGTATATTCGTTTTCGAAGCGTATAATTTGCGTCTGTTCCACTGTTGGAGCATTTTTCAATCGGGTTTTTTATCTGCTTTGGAAGGGTAAATTGAACGCGTTACTATTTAATCCGCCTTCTTTACTTTTCAGTTTGTCACCTGGATCCGGCGACATCCAGAATATCATGCCGCTTTTTATGCTTTGCGCTCAATGAATCAGGCGAACGCACGATCAAATGCTCAACAGCGGCAGCAGAATGCCTCGAGTTCCTTGACAGGCACTGGTCCGAGCAACGTCCATAACCCTAGTAATCCCGTGGGTCTCTCAACCTCACTGTCTTCTACTGCTACCCATACGAACTCTGTGGTCGTAACCCCCACTAATCCCCAGGGCCAGTCTACCACACTCCTCCCCCAGCCCATGGGCTCTGTCCTTTCTATCTCCAGCGGGGGTACGGCTAAGCAAGTCATCCTCAACAGCGCCTCTCAGTCTTCATTGTTTCAACACTCCCAACAAACCCAACAACCCCAGACTGTTCAGCTTGTTTTGCAACAATCTTCTCTAAAAGGTGTGCCACAGCAGTCTCTGAACACTGTCTCTCAGCAGCAACAGCCCCAAACTATCCGACTTCGAACCGTAGCCGGACCCGCCGTGATACAGTCTCAGCCACAAATGCAGGTTCAAGGACCTCAGCACATTTACACGCCTTGCGCCTCGGCGACCTCCAACAATGGCACCGTTTATGTTGGTACAACGGTCGCTGGTGGGGGTGGGGGCACGACTCTGCTTACAACTATTGGACACACACAACAGCCTCATCTCCTTGGCCAACACCGCATCGTCCCCACGGGAACAACTCCAATATCGGCCATCACTCGAACAGTCGCTGCGCCGGTGGGCTCTGGCTCCAATCAACCAGCTACACTGGTGCACTTCCGTGCGTGCGGCCAACAACCAACCCAGCACCAACCCCACATCCTCCTTACAAATTCCGGTCAGCAAGGTCAAGGAGCCCACTCACAGCTTGTAACACCCGGTCGTGGTGCTCCGATTGTCGCCGTGATGACCAGCTCCCAGCCATCTAACAACAGCAGCACTCCTAATGTGAACCCTCCATCAGGCTCGTGATTCCTGGCACCCCGCCCACCCCAAAGTTGCTGCCCGTCTCCTATCTCGCACCCAGGTGCAAAGTGTCGCAAATGAGAAACTCCCGCGTGTGAGTGTCCTGGCTTACGACTGCGCCATGCAAACGGGCATTCCTGTGGTGACTCGTACCAGTCCTTTCCATCTTTACACTTCCGTAAATTTCGGGATACGAATTGACAACAAGGCTGTTAATACATTCGAATTTATGGGGCGCCGCCATCGCATTTGAAGATCCTTTATTTTACCTTCTGCTTTTCTATTCCTTAGGGATTTTCGTTTCGGTCCTTAAATCATGCTCTGCGGCATCTTCCGGTGGTCTGCTACACTGATCCCTGGCAGCCCATTGCTTAATTGCGTTTCTCGCTCTGTGGAAAGTCAGCGTAATTATTCAGCGCCTTTTTGTTTTGTTATGCGAAGCCCCGACGCATCTTTTTACTCAAGTTACTGTTGTCCCCGTGAAGGCCGCGACGGGTCCTTCCTCTGGCAAAGACACCGCTCAATTGTACATGCTCTACTCCCTCCTGCCTTTGAGACGGCTTCGCTGTCGTGTTCAGCTCTTATTTATACGATACAATATACAGACGTGTATATAATTTTGATATTTAGATATCTGCGCACTGCGGTTTGTTATGAGAACTTACAAGGCCCAGTCCAAACCTGACGGAAGAGGTATTCTGGCCACATCAAGATTCGAACTTGTACTGACATCATTTGAGTCTTTTACGCTCTGTTGGCTCTTCAATACTTTCACACCGACTGTGCGTACTAATGCCTGTAAATGGTTTTCTTTTCAGAGGCGCATCTTGCTAGCAACCTGTACAGCTTGTTTAATTTGTCATGGCGTCCCCAGGCAATATTCTTAAATTTCAATTGAGAGTTTGTGTCTGACTTTC